TTGCCATGTGGTCACCTCCGGGGCAGGCGGGAATCAAACTCATGCGGAAGTGGCTTTAGCTTCTCAGTGCAGTGCTTTAACCCGCTGCGCCACCAGGGAGGGCCTACAGTTGCCAATTTTTATTAAAATATTCGAATGGAACAGTTGGTGCTACCATCTCATGTGTCATTGTCTCCTAAGTTTTCCTAAAAATTCTGGAGGGAATTATGTTCTAGTCATTTGAGCCATAGTTTGCTTCCCTGCTTTAGCCTGGGTGCTTAGCAAAGGCTACTGGACTCCCTCATTGCCCACCCGATCCCTGGCACATGGCATTGCTCCTCTGCCTTCGTTTTGTTAGGGGGAAACAATGTCCTGAATGAACCTTATAGACACAGGTTTTTCGGACTCCACCGCCACTTCAGACACCGCAACTACAAGTCCCAGCAATTCCAAAGGAAGGACTGCTAGGACCTGAGGGCAGAGTTTAACAGCCATTTTGGGTTTTGGATATAAAACCAGACATTCAGGCTGAGGGGGCACATGGAGCAGAGACATGTGAAGAAGCTTTGTCTTGTTTCTTGGTCCTGGACTGGGTGAGACACCAGTGGGAAGGTTGACTATGGCCGTGTTTATCTTGATTTTGATTTTGCTCTTTTCCTCCCAGACTTCCTCCCTTTCCTATGGGTCCCTGCCAGAGGTGCTTTAGATACATGGCAGATTTTCAGGCCTTGCTTTGGGCCAACCCCTTTTGGGTAGACTTTTACCTACGAGGGGATGGGTCACTTGGGGTGTTTGATTTAGAAACTATATTCTGTATCTTTTCTGTATTGTGCACTTATTGTATTAAAGTTCTTTTCCATTAAAGGTCTTACATGTTTTGTCTTGATGCAGTGACTGGCAGAACCTATCTAGAGCAGGTAGGTTTGGGGGCTTAGGGGTGTCTCTCTCCTTGCCTTATATCAATTTCTTGTTCCTACCTCCTTGTATGTTACAGATACATCTCTTGTGTTCCAAATTCAGGCTGGAGAGAAATGTGTCTTCCTGGCTTTTTCTGTGGTTGTGTTTAACATTCATTATTTCAGCATGTGGTAACAACTTCATCCTAGCCAATTTTAGGTTAAAATCATGATTTCTTCCCTTCTCTCTCCCCTTCGAGGTTCTGGGTGGGGATGGGGTGGGCTTACATGGAGTCAGGCATTGAGGGTAGTGGTGATGGGGTATAGGCTGTATTTTCTCATCTGTCCATGCTGGACTTCACTTCACTTAGGAGTTCATATTGTCTGGTCCTCGTCCCTCCTACTTTTCCACAATGCTACTTGTTGAGATGACCTTTGTTCTGTCCAGTCTCTGCAGATCTTGTGCTGGCCACAGCACCTCCTCAGCTCTGCTGTTTGTTCAGTGTCACATAAGTGCTACTCTTGGTGGTTGGGAAAGACATTCAATTGGGTCCTGCAGCCTCTGGGAGGTCTCTAGATTCAGGCAACTGCCTGAGTGCCCCATTCTTTTTTTTTTTTTTTTTAAGATTTATTTATTTATTCATTTATGCATATAGACTGCAGCACAGGCCAGACGTGCAGGGGCATTGAGAGGATTCACCAGAGACAGAGTGGGGAGTAGAACAGGCAGATGGATGAAGTACACTGCTGAGGGGAGCAGCGGGCAGGTCAGGAGAGGTCTGCCATGCCATGTGCATCTCCTTCAGGGCAGGCGGGAATCGAACTCATGCGGAAGCAGTTGCTGCTAGCTTGCAGTGCTGTACCCTAACCCTTTTTGCCACCAGGGAGGGTGAGTCCCCCATCCTTGATTGCCATCCAGACATCTGCACCCAAGCCTTGGGAGGGAGGTTCAGAGAACCTCCAAAAGCTCCCCCACCTGGAGAGCAAGGCCCTTTTGCTAGACTTTCAGATCCCCATCCTCTCTGAAGATCTTCCCCCATGGCCCATCTGGGGACTGAGAGCTGAACTGCAAAGATACTTAAGAGCTGTCTCATCTCATTTCTCTCTGATTCTCCCTCCCTTGGGGTAGGCAGAAAGAATTGGATTTGACTAATTACATGTTATTTTAAATCAGTAACTTATGCATGGAATTGTGAGATTTTAAAAGTCAGAGGCTAAGGATCTGACCCCTGTGCTCTGGTTTACCTCCAGCTACTGGTGGAATGCCTGACTGGGAAGATATGGAGGGAGAAAGGAGAAGGAAAGTGCTGGGAGCAGAAGCCACTTTGGGGAAAAGTTCAAATAATATCCTGCTGTTAGAATTAGTCTTTGTCTGAAGTTTTGGAAGGACTGAGCAAAGGAGGGTGTTAACAGCACAATGCCTGGCAAGGAATCACTTAAAAGTTTCCCCCAACCCCTCCAGGCCTCCAGACCTCTAGAAGCTTCTCTTCCCCAAGCTCTGCTCTGTAAGCACTGAGGGTGCTTCACTCATTCTTCCTTTTCTCCTCCCCAGACTACTTTTATTTTGGTTTATTTACCAGTACTTAAAATTCAGTTCATGTATTTAGCTTCCTTTTTATTTTACCCACTTTTTCAGACCAAGACCTGGAGTAGGGAATAGGGGACCTTTTACATCCAAATTTCCTCCAAGACTTTTCTTAACCTCCGTCCCCATCTTGTAAAAATGCTGTGAATAGCACCTGCCTCTCATTATTGAAAAGCAACTACAGCCCTAATTTACTTTAAGTGAAAATTCTCCTTCCCCTTTCACCTGAGTGTAAAGCTATTTTTGCATTACATCTACTTAAAAAAAAAAGGATATAATTTTGTTCAAGGATTTGCTAATCATTTCACCCAAGACTATTAAGCCAACAAAATTTGCATGCAAAGCTTCAGGTCTCCTGCTTCTAAAAATTCATACTTCCTAAACAGCTTTGCCCAAGCCCAAACCTACTGCAGACACGTGGTCTGGTTCCCTCTGTGACACAAAACTGAATGAAAACTTTTGTTAAAGGGGAAAGGGCTAGAGATGCAGAGGATGTTCTATTCATTTAAGTGGCTTAGTTTAATCTGGAATGTTAAGCCTGCTTTTGAGGGAACCCAGAATATGTCACTCCAAGATGTACTTTGAAACTGGACATCAAAATTATTTTGAGCCAAAGGTATTAAAAAAAAAAAAAGCTGATGCAAGGAGGACATGCTGACCTTCCTCTGCCCCGCCCCCCAGAAAGCAGGAGCTCCCCCACCCCAATACTAGAAAGGAACATTCTTATCTTCCAATGGGAAGTTGGGAAGGATAACTCTGTACAAACAGACCTGTTTTAATAATTCTTATTGTCCTTGAGCCAGCCTTTGTTTTAGCTACTGTCCTGCAATCATTACTAGTTGACCCTGAATGAAAACATTTTGGTTTTGTTACTTTGGAGGGCCTCCTTTCCTCACATGGGTCCCTGTGTTATGTAAATCTATGTGTACTCATCTATTTATAACATAGTCCTTAGTTTTTTTTTTTTTTTTAAAGATTTATTTATTTGTGCATACAGAACTGGGGTACAGGCTAGAGGCTTAGGGGCGGTGAGGGGCTTCACCAGAGACAGAGCCGGGAGCAGAACAGGCAGATCCACGAAGTACACTGCTGAGGGGAGCAGCAGGCGGGTCAGGAGAGGTCTGCCACACCAAGTGGTCACCTCCAGGGCAGTTGGGAATCGAACTCAGCAGGAAGCGGCTTTAGCTTCTCCGCAGTGCTTTAACCCGCTGCGCCACCAGGAAGGGCCATAGTCCTTAACTTTAGAGAAGAGGGAGAGAAGATGGTGAGTCAAGTGATTCCAATGATTGACCTCAGTCAGCACCAGACCCATCTGCAGGAACTCAGGGTCCAGGCAGCCTGGTGAGCCTCCCGTTCCCCCTGTGTGAGCTCAGTCCAACCAGACACCCCTACAATGTCCAGGGCACTTATTAGTCCTGAGGAAGCTGGAATTTCCTAACTGTGGGTAGGTGTGCAAATTCCAAGCTACCAACTGCCATCAGTGGTAACTGAGTGCGGTTCATCTTTTAATACTACATTTGAGTACTTTAATTTTTTTACTTTTTCCATTTCCTTGCTGAAATGTATCTTATATACTGAGAAGCACACAAGTATCAAGTGAAATTTTACATTTGCCTACCCTTCTGTATCCACAGGGGGCAGAGATTTTTCAGCAGAATCCTCCATACTTGTACTCAAGTATTATCCCCCCAAAGGTGGCCAGACTTCAATGCCCATAGGCTATTGCCTTTTTTTTGGCAAGTAACGTATACACGGAATTATACAGCAAATATTTCATTATTAAAAAGGGCCTCATGCATAAGGGAGGAGGGGGCTTTTGCGTTCTAACTCAGTATAAAGCAGGGTGTCAGGCAGTGCAGGGATTCAATCGAGACTCACTCTGTCCAAACACCTGCAACTTATAATACTTAACCTTGTTGCCTTTGGTTTCCTCATCTACATAGTAGAGAGCATAATCATTCCTAGTTTGGTGCTGGTTGGATAAGTAATATATAAAATACCTAATGCAGTGCTCAGCACATGTAGGGCTTCATAAATGCGTACTAGTATTTTATTCATGGATATAGTAGGTATTTGTTAAATTTTTATTCAGGTAACCTATTCCCTATATTCCTGCTTGCAGTATGAATTCCTCTTAACGTCTGTGAACTCCTTCCTGGATTTCATTTAAGGAATAAGGGTGTTGTGGCCACACTGATGCAAAAACCTTGCGGTTTTTCACATTAACTCCTGTAACTTTAGCTTCTTTTCTATGGACCTTACCAGCCAGACTTAAAAATACTGGGGGGAAAGGTGATAGGCTCATTTATGAAAAAATGGGTCGAAAGTGCTCATCTTTTTCATATGGGCAGTTCACTTTACATCAAGAAACAAGTACTGAACAAGTGCAAAGTTCAATGCTTGTCATTCACATCACTTTTTCACTCACACATGGGCTGCATCCGGTCTGGGCCAGAGACGGTCCCTTTAAGGCCCTGGAAAGGGTCACGGTGTGGCTTTTGGCGGGGAGGCCCCGCCCTGTCACGTGTCCGCAGATCCAGGGGGCGGGACCGGTGTTTCTAGGCTGCCGTCACTTCCGGTTCTCTGTCAGTCTAGAGCGAGCGAGCTGGAAGCTGTTCGGCGATACAGCGGAGCGTGAGTGTCCGGGACCCCGCCCCCACCCCCTCAACTCCCAGCCCGCCCGATCCCCTTCCTCCCGCCTGGCCGCGAGCCATCCCCGGCCCTCCGCCCGTCTGGCCGGCGACGGCAGCGAGAAATGGCGGCGCTGCCCGGCCTGCCCCTTCAGCGCCTGGGTTTCCCCGGACTCCTTCCTCCGCCCCCGACCCCGGGTCCCCACGCGCTGGGGCCCCTCCGCGCCAGCCACTACCCTGCCGGCGGGAACGGCCTCGGGGCGGC